ACAGCACTGTGTAATACACCCAGCTGTGTCTGCCGCACTGTGTAACGCACCCAGCTATATCTACAGCACTGTGTAATACACCCAGCTGTGTCTGCCGCACTGTGTAACGCACCCAGCTATATCTACAGCACTGTGTAATACACCCAGCTGTGTCTGCCGCACTGTGTAACGCACCCAGCTATATCTACAGCACTGTGTAACGCACCCAGTTCTGGCTTGTCCAGCAGGCTGATCAGAATCCGGAATGGCTTCAGGTCGTGCATCAGGACGCTCTCTTCCTCTCCCCCACGGGCCTTTCCCTGCAGGATCCCCACCATCGCCTGAAAAGAGGCCCCACATAAGCTGTCCATTCTGGGCCCCATCAAAACTGTGTTCAATAATGCTGACACTCTGCCCCCATGTGCTGCTGCTACCAGCACGGACAGCTGTGCCTCCTGTAATTCCCAACATTGCCACCGGGGGAGCTCCAACAAACCGCTTCAATCGAATGGCTCAAGAACAAAAAGCACACAGAACAAAACGCTGGCTGTCGTGTGCCAGGCTCAGCCCCCGGGCAGGACTGAGGAGAAGGGAAACACGTGGCCCCCGGAGCACACAGGCATGGATGGGGGGAGGGGGCCGACTGAGGCAGGCCTACCTGGACCAGCATATCCTTGGAGTAGGTGTTGAAGTAATAAGAAGCATGTTCTTCGGGACTGCTGAGCCTGGAACTGCGAGGGCCTGTTCTCGCGGCATTATTGTCGGAGCCTGGGGAGGAGGTCACGCACAGGGTTACCCGTCACCACGGCGACGTCACGCTTTGACAATCTAACATGGGATGATTTCGGCATTATGGGTATGATGGCCTGGACCAAACACTGGCCAATAGTATGTGGACACCAGCTTCACCAACATGTCGTTCTAAAACTGCTATGAATTTGGTTGTCCCGTTTATGCTATAATAGCCTCTGTACTTCTGGGAAGGCTTTCTGTTAGAAGCTGGATTACTGTTGGTGGTATTTACTGCCATTCAGGCTGGGTATTGATGTTGGGTGATCAGGTTCCTTTCTGTGAGCTTGTGTTTCTCTCAGACGTTCTGACCATCATAATCACTACACTGGCAGTTGACCAGGGCGGCTCTATCAGGGCAGAAATGTGGCAAACTGACTTGTTGGAAAGATGGCATCCGGTGATGGTGCCAAGTGGAAAGTCACTACCCTCTCCTGTACAACCAGCCATTCCGCTGCTAATGTTTGTTACGGGAGATTGTGTGACTGTGTGTTTAATTATATACCTGTGTCAGCAATGGGCGTGGCTTAATTAGGGGCGTCCACATACTTTTGGGCATATAACGTACTTTGGGGGTAACTAATGCCGGGGGAGTGACTTTCCCAGGAACATGACCATGTACACACCCCCCCCCCCTAAAATAGATCCACACAGTGGAGGTCTGTGGAGCAGAAAGGGAGGGAGGGACTCACCGGCCAATATCCAGATCAAGGAGCAGCGACAGGGAGAACAGCAAGAAATTAGCCTGTTACTTATTATAGGGCTGCAGGTATCACATTGCGATGTAATCACAATTATACCCTGGGCTTTAGATACTGGGTGAAACATTTGTCTGGATGCAAGCTTTTCTGCACTATAATTCTATATAAGTAAACATCCGTACACTATTGAAAATTAGGCATCCGGACAAATGTTTCGCCCGTTATCGTAATCCCTGGTGGTTGCGTGATTATATCGCAGTGTGATATTGCATGATTATATCGCAGTGTGATATTGCGTGGCCCTAACCTATGACAGTTGCTGCGGTTGCGTGTAACAGCGGCTGCCCTAGAGCCATGAAGCATACCACACGCGTGTGTGAAGAACAGGCAGCCACACAGATTCACCTTAACTAACGTGTTAGCTTAACTTGACTCATAAACACACTTCTACCTCAGCAGCCCTGTCTGGAATTCCACTGAACAACTTAAATCATACTGTAACTGCAAAGATGGACATTCCAGGTCCTGAAAGAAAAAAATCCAGACCAAGATTTTGTTTCAACCAATCAGTTGAGTATACAGAGTCACAGTCACAGAAACAAAACCTCGATCTGGATTTCTACTTACTGGACCTGAAATGTCCACCACTGTAGAACTGTTTTCCAGCCATCTGCACCAGTCATTATCAGTTGCACATAACAATAGAAAACTGCCTTATCCTGCACCCATTCTTCCTGTTCTATCTGCTACTGCTCTTCCACTGTAAGTGGTTTACAGTCAAACCCATTACACACTATATTGTACAGCACTATATATTTATTCATTGTCTCGTGTGTTTATGTTATCATGTATCAATTCGTTTCTAAAGTCTCTGATAAACACTATTTTTTCTTTGTATGCCTGCATATTTTAAAATGACAATATAGTTTGACTTAAGTTATGCCAGGTCAAGTCAAGTTGATCTGACTTGACGTGACTATGCTACCCCAAAAATAACTTAACACACAGAGTACGTCATGTGACACTGACCTCCGCATGGTTGGTTGGTTCTGTGAAGTGCACGTCATGGTGTGTAAGTGTGTGTCTTACCCAGCATCCAGGCGTACAGCCTGCGATTCAGTGACATGTCCCTCCGCAGAACCACGTGCAGAGCTGCTGACAGGATGCGGATCATGTCTGGCCTCGTCGCCTGCAACACGGACACGGGCGACTTAGCGGCAGCGGAGTCAGACACCGGATCTCCTGGGACCCATCGCACCACACGCAGTACCTGGCTCATGTGGAATGGAAAACAGAAGAGGATCAGGTCCAGTGTGCTCCTCTGGACCAGGACGCTGGAGTCTTGCACCGAAGTGCTGACCGCTTCCACCTACGAACGGGCCAGACAACAGCGAACCGGGTCAGACTCCTCCGTGGGTCAGGATGCTCTGCGGGCCCAGCCCAGGAGAGGCGGCCGCACCATGAGCTCGATGTCGCTGCCCATGACGTAGAGCTGGTCCTCCATGGAGAGCTTGCGGTTGAGGTGCAGCAGGACGAAGGTGACCCCGGGCAGACGGACCGCCGGGCTGGTGAGGATACTGCCCCACAGCGCACTGTAGAAGGCGCACTGCTCCACCGCCGCTGCCACCTTCTCCAGTAGGTTGTTGGTTCTGGGGTGCATGGTGGGGGGGTGGGAGGTTGTATTTAACCAATGACCACAAACAGAAAATACAGACACAAAGTCCAGCAAATGCTCGTCAACACAAGCAGCAAAGCAGCATGTCAGGGCACTGGGTGGTGAATAGGACCAGCCGGGCTGCATTCATCACACGCTGGAGAGGACACCCTGCCTTCCTCATCACCCCCGTACACTGTACACCCATCACACGAGGGCGCGGCAACTGCAACTCGGAGACCAGCTGGAGGCCACGTCTCAGACTTGGTAAATCCTCCTGCTTACCTGGTATAGTACTCTAAACCCTCCCTAGGCATGCAACACCCTAGCAACAGACCCCACCCCCAAAAGGCCTCAGGTTCAAACCCCACCCACAAAGGTTTCCTCCATGCAGACCCCAAACAAAGTCTTCCCACCTGCACAGACTGCACCCCCAGAGGCCTCTCCCAGCCACAGATCCCACCCTCTCAGGCCTACCACTGGCTCTAACTCTACCCTCAAAGGTCTCCCCCATCAACAGACCCCACCCCCAAAGGCCTACCCCATGCACATACCCCACCCTCACACAGCTGTCTCATGTTCAAACCCCACCCACAAAGGCCACCCCCATGCACAGACCAAACCCACAAAGGCCTCCCCATGCACAAAACCCACCCCCAAAGGCTTACCCCATGCACAGACCCCATCCTCCCAGACCTACCTCTGACTCAAACCCCACCCCCAAACGCCTTCCCCATGCACACACCCCACCCCCCCACTCATAGCCCTGCCCCAGGCACAGTCTCCACAGTCACCTGTCATAATACTCAGAGCCCTCCTCCAAGCCAGGAAGAACCCCCGTCAGCAACCCCTGCAGCCCCGGCTTCAGCGTCTTGCCCAGAGGGAGGTAGTAGGTCTCATAGAGGCCCAGAAGGACTGGCTTCACGGACATGGCAGCATTGCTGAGCAGAGGGAAGAGGCCGGAACTGTGGAGACGACAGGGCGCACGCGTCAGCAGGCATGCACCAATCCCCCTGCAGATGACCACTAGAGGGCGCTCAGGGCTTTGCATATGTCTGACCAGAACGCCAATCACCTGTACAGAAAGAGGTCCTTGGCGAGCCGCTTGGGCCCAATGATCTTGAAGATGATCTCATAGGTCTCCAGGGCCTTGCGGTGGACACCACTGGGCAGGGCCGGGTGAAGGCACTGCGCCAACCGCTTGCCAATGGTCAGCTTCTTGGGCACCACCTGGTACTTTGCATTGTTCTGCAGCACCTAGAGCAGGTGGACACAGACACTGACGGGATGCCCATAGACAGCAGAGAGGCAGAAAATTCACAAGGAATAGGAGGGCTATTCTCCAGTCCCTGGTGACAACTTTCACACATGCAAATCATCATATATAAAATCTAATTAACTACTCATTGAGTCCCAAGTCTTATTTAATCAGATAAGATCTGATGTATTGCATCCTGAAGATAAGTCTGGTTTATAAAAGTAAAGACTGATCACTGAAAAGTAGACGGCTTTTGTCTGCCGGTGGAAACACTGAGGTAATATCACAAAGGTGATAGTTCGGCTTACTGTTGTTCTCGATATCGTCATTACACATATAATCCTAACTGTACATGCTCAGCTGTCATCCAAAGCCATTCTCAGGCAAACAAAACAGGTCACCTGATGTAACACAATCCTCACCTTGTTCAGCTTCCCTAGTGCCGAGATGAGGTCCGCCCATTCGCTGGAGTACTCAAAGTTTTTCAGCGCCTTGTCCACGGCAGCTACATAGTTCCTGTACTTTGAGTCACTGAGAAGCTCCACCTCCTCTGCATTCATCCTGTGCGGTACCACTACAGTCCGATGTTAGGTCACATGCCACCTAGAGGCAGGAAGGCATTATCATAGCTCAGCACCATCACACACTCAAATATATGGTTGTAAAAAGGAATCCTCAACATGGCAACACTCACTGAATCAAAACTGAAGGTAGGATAGTATTATTACACAAATACATGCAAATACATCCAGACTTTACAAACAGATTTGGACAAAACACTGACAGGCAAGACCATAAGACAGCTTCCAAGTGTAACCCATTAACTAGAACAGGCTGTAAAAAGTAAATGTGTCATAACAGAGGAAAATTTCATTTCCTGCTACAGCTCAAAACATAAAAGTTTACTGTGCTTTAAAACTGGAAACGACGTATATCCTCACTTTTCAACATGCGTCATGCGTTGCTGTATGCATGAAGAAACAAAGCAAGCAACTTTGAATATGGTAGTGCATTTCTTGTAAATGGATTGGACCAACAGTCCACCTACACCTACAAAGCACCAATCCATAAGTAAAGGTAGACAGATAAGCTACACAGTCAGGTCTTTATATGGGAATACAAGGAAGCAGAAGGAATGTGATTTAACATCTGCAGACAGATGTGTCAAATCTGAGCATGCCACAAAGAGGAGAGTCCGGCTGTGTGTCTAATCTGAGCTTCTCACAAAGAGGATAGTCAGGCTGTGTTTAATCTCACTTCTCAAAACAATCAAACGACCACCAGTATCATTCTTCCGTGTCTTTAACCCCTTAATTACCAATGTATTTGTATTGGTTACTCTTATTCTTTTCCACTCAAACCCCTAATTCCACCTATCTGACAACGTGACACTGAGTTTGTAAACTGATGACACTAACCTTACACACTAACCACCTACACACCTACATTCTCCTATACACAGTAACACGACACCCCTGTATCCTACCACTACATTGACTACTTAACCCTCTTCGACACCCCGACACGCCTCAGATGTGTCTATTGTCGCTGGCCCCGCAGCTCACACCACGGCTTGCTGTTGTTTGTCAGTGCAGAGGAAATGTCTCACCGACTCCAGGTCAGCCGCACATCGCTGTCAGTCACTCCGCAAAGCAGTATCGGCTCCGGGCCGAGTAAGGGGGCGGACGCTGCCGGCAACGCTACAACAAAACTCCAGGAGCCGGCGACCGACCGTAGCTTACATGCCCCCCGGGCGTTTTCCCATCGGAAAGAACCAACAAAAAAGGGACCGCAGCGATAACTGTTGTCGCTCAAGCGTACAAAGCTTCGACGGCCCAACTGACAGCTCCCAGAAACCACTGCGGCACGTCGTGTGCCGCTTTAAATTGGTCCGACTCTGAAACAAGAATAGCAGAAAGGTTCCGACTGCTTATGTCAGACACAAAGACATCTGAAACATATTCAAACTTTTAGGTAATTGTATATAAATCGGCTGGATTCAAATAACTTAGATTATATCACGGTATATAACAAATCATTGTGTTTTAGCTAATAATATTGTCGTTTAGAGTCCATAAAATGAATAACTTCCGTATAACCTTTCATTACACTAGACTTACATAATCACTTCCTTTCGTAGGAGCATTCGCCTCCGGGGTAATTTTAGAAAGCATGATTTAAACACCCAGCACCCGTGATGAGTTAGTGAAACGTATTGTTTATATCGTTACTGGACAGGTTGTCCCGTTAAGCCGATAATAGTGATAACACGGTAACACATAATAAGGCCAGTGTGGAAAGAGCATGGCTGAAGCCCAGAAGCAAGCCAGAGTTTTCCTGGAGCTCAGACAGCGGTTAGAGAGCGGGCTGCTGGTATTAAGGTATACGTGCTGGTCGACATCCTGGTGTTAAGGTACACGGGCTGTTTCGGTACCGTGTTAGTACCATGCATGTGATGGCTGGAATGTACAGTACGAACATAAGTTAACGCCGAATGTGTATGATCAAAAGGTAAAGATTGCGGGAATTATAAAGTTAAACAGAAGCGTATGGCTTCTTATTATAGTTATCCTGATCTGTTATGCGGTTTGGCCAGTGAGACTTATAACTTTTATTCCAATTTTAGCTGGAGTTTTAGCTGTACGTTTACAGCCACGTTTGCAGACGTTAAATGTATTCTTGCTCCCTTGCTTACACACGTGTTTGATATTGTAACCTATAACCAACACAAGCAGCGAATGGAAGTCTGATTTTTTTTTTAATAGGCTGATCAGTGTTTGAAACATTTAGGATCATTTTGGATATGGAAGGTCGTGCACGTTCATAGTCTTTTTTAGGACAGCATGGTATGCATGTGCACGTGTGTCCGTTCACGGCCCCTTTGTGGTTTTCTGCTCAAACTCATCCGGAGGGGAGAGGGAAGATTACTGACTATCAGCGGAAGTTCGTCCGAGTCTCAGGGCAAATGAGGCATAATGGGACTGTGGGATATGGTACCTGGAGGTGTAAGATCGGTTCCACATCTTCATTGCCTGATGGGGTTTAATGGTAACGTGTAGTGGTGTCTTGGTAAGTGGGTGTACTGTTATACCGTATAATTTCTTATACGCACTTCTGTTGTGACTCATACGAATTTCTGACAATTTTTAGGTAGGTTTACGGTAAGTCCATATATACCCACCATTACATCACCGGTAGCGTCCTAAACATGGGGTTTTCAGCCTGACAAGACACAATGCATTTAATCATACATGCCATTTACTATACAAGTGGAAAAATATAGTAGAGCGGTAAACAAGTCTGTTGAGTAGTTAATAATAATAAAGTCTCTCTCTGTAGTTGGCCCCAGTTCTCTCAGACAGCCAGCAGAAACTAACTCTAACCCTAAACTACCCCCCCAGGGCAGATGTTGCTGGAGACCCTGCAGATGTCTCCGTGTCTGCTGGTGACGCGTCTCTGCTTATAAAGACATCAACGGAGCTGCTATGCACTCTGCTACCACCAGGGGTCACTCTTGTACCAGGATCCTGCAGGGTGGCCCATACGGCCACAGGAGAGGGGCTGCACCTGAGACTGCGTCTGGAGGTGGACCAGCACACAGGTATTCATGGTTTCACTGACCTCGTTCCTATAGGATCCGATGCACAGGTGCCATCTACCAGTTGACTTCCCCCATAAAGTACTACACACAAATGAACTTCTTAACCATAGTGTGCAGTTGGTGGTGAAACAAATTAGTGGGCAGGATTACTGGCAATTTGGTAGTGATTGACAGCTCATTCCTCCAATCACATCTGGAGGATAGGGAGCCATCATTGTGCAAGTCTGCTCTCACTGGTGAGAGGCAACCCCCCCCCAAGCCCAGTGCCTGGGGTATCTTTGGAGTACATTAGTCACTGGGGAGGCCACAGGGTTTATCTTGGCGCCCTCGTCTGTCCAGGCTGCTCTGACAGTGTGTTCTGTCCTACACAGAGGTCCCCAGGAGTGTGTTTGCCAAGCTGCGTGTTCAGCAGAGTCATGCTTTCTGCTGTCAGCACTGTGGTCAGACTCTGCTGCCAGCCAGGTGAGGAGGCTCATAGTTTGATGTGCCCTCTCACGCCCCCTGCTGTCTGCCTGTCTGTCTGCCTGCCTGTCTGCCTGTCTGTCTGTCTGCCTGTCTGTCTGCCTGTCTGTCTGTCTGTTTGCCTGCCTGCCTGCCTGTCTGCCTGCCTGTCTGCCTGCCTGTCTGCCTGTCTGTCTGCCTACGTGTGTGAGTGTGTGTGTCCCTCTTCCAGTTTGCTCTTGCTTCCTGTTGTTCTGATATCCACCCCTCAAAGCTCTCCACACACAGGTGACGTAATGTGCGACCTGCCGTGGCGTGACAGTCTTGTCTTTCCAGAACCTTCCGAAGGGTCCTCCCCCTGCCCACCGGGAACTGGAACGCACTGGTGGACTGGTGCTGTCACCCCGATCCCTTTGCCAACAAGAAGTTGCTCCCCAGACAAGAGGACTGTTTACTGGGGGACACCTTTGTCCTGCTGGCATGTGATGGGGACGCGGGTGGGCGGCTCGTACAGATGCCTGCCCCCGCCGACCTGGAACATGGATCAGACCCTGTGCAGGTGAGGGCCACCGTGTGGAGGATCCAGGTGACCAGCTTGTTGTGGTAGTTGAGTGGAGAATTCTCTCAATTTCTCAACCCAGTCCTGGGGGATCCCCAGACAGTCCACATTTTTGCTCCCAGCCAATCAGGAGTACCGAATGCCTGGTTCAGATGTGCTGGGAGGGAGCAAAAACGTGGACCGTATGGGGGGTCACCAGGGACTAGGTTGAGAAATACTGCTATAGTGTCATTAGTTTAGACCAGGGGTGGCCAATCTTATCCACAAAGGGCCGGTGTGTATGCGGGTTTTCGCTGCAACTCCATAATTAGATAACTAATTAGAGGACTGATTGGCTGAAGAGTCCTCACACCTGGGTTTGAAGAGCTGACCTACAGGTTATCCCAAAAACCTGCATACACACCGGCCCTTTGCGGGTAAGATTGGCCTCCCCTGGTATAGACATTTAGGGGGCAGCGTGTGGCTCAGTGGGCTAAGCCTCTGTGCCTGTAATCAGAAGGTCACCAGTTCAAACCCAGCCTCAGCACGTCTGCGGGTCCTTGAGCAAGGCCCAGCTCCCTGGACCCCCAAACAGGTGGCTGCTCTTCGCAGAAAGCTTACTCTACAAAGAGCAAGTTGAGGGAGTTGTAAAAAGACAAAATAAAAGTGTCTTATTATTATTATTATTATTCACCCTTAATCAGACCTATCAAGCTGCGGGCCTGACTGAACTGTAAACCAGCAGAGATCACTCTTGGGGAGGGGAGTGACACCCCTAGTTTACAGGGGCTCTGTCACCATCAGTCCTCTGAATGTCTGTTGGTGAGTGATTCAGGTGTCGCCCTCTGTGACGCATTGTCTCTCCTGCAGAAGGTGTCCAGAAGTGAGGTGGTGCTGTGTTCCAGCTGCCGGGCGATGCTTGGGGAGGCCGTGGCTGCAGGTGCGAGCTCAGACCGGGGATGCGGTGCGTCGTGTGTGAGGTGACATCTGTTTTTTTTTTTCGAGCTCCAGAATATCTGACTGAGCATGTTTCTGCTAGGGGCGCTGAGGCTGTACATCACGGAGGTGACAGTGAGGGAAGTGGCCGAGGACGGGGACAGTGACCTCAGGACGCACAGGTAAGCATGCAGGCAGGCGGAACACTTGGTCCCAGCCTGTTAAAGCATCATTTCATTTGATCTGACTTATTTGCCATTTTCACGAGCACTAGTACACCTGCACTGAAATGCTACTTTTTACATATCCCATGTTGCTCTCGTTTTGAGACGCACACAGATAATCACACAGCTCAGAGCAGAAGGTCAGTCATTTATCTGGTGCCCCTGAAGCATTTCGGGGGGGGGGTGGTTTGGGGCTTTGCTCAAACACGACCTGCGACTCCTACCATTGATGGGATTGAAAACGCCGGCCTTGCGACCCGCTGAATGGTCCGTGTTTCCTCAAACGCAGACACCTCTTCCTGGAGCAGACGCTTGCCGCCAGGCTGGTGGAGCTGTCCGGCACGCAGAGCATCTTCCGCTTCTGCATCCAGACTCCCAGCGGGAAGGCCTACGTCCTGGTATGATGTGTGTGTGTGTGTGTGGTCCAATCCTGTATGGTTTTGTGTGCAGCAGAATATAGATGGTTATAGTTTAAGTTTATGTGTGTATGAATCTGGCGTATGTGTGAGAGAGAGAGAGAAATAGAGATGTGCAGTGTTCTGTGGGTGTGTCACTGGGAGATTCACCTCCATGAGTATACAACAGCCAGCAGGTCGAGGGGCTGAAAGCTGATTGGTCCCCGGAGTACCTCCTCCCTGACACTCACCAACTCAAAACACTGGCTGATGATGAGGATGGCCACTGTATGAATTGTGTGGTTACACACACGGCTTCACTGCCGACGCCTGGTGTCAGAGTCCTGATCTCTCTTCTCTTCTCCAGCTTTGGCTGCTAAACACAGATACTCTCCTGGCTTCTCTGTCCGACCCCGGAGACGGTCCCCACGGTGTGCAGCCATCGTGTGAAGCCAGGGGTGCTGTCAAAGTGCTCTACCTTGCCTGCCTTCCCAGCATGCACCAGGAGTAAGTGACTGACAATATTTCTCGTATTTCCAGCCTCCTCCTTTAGTGTTTGTCACGGACTCACTAGCGCCCCTTAATGGAGTGGATGGGCAGTGATCTCCGCTCTTGACAGTTACTGCGGTGACAGTGAGGCTAGTCATTCAGATGCCGGCTCATTAAAGATATTTTTACTTGAGTCCCCACCCCGTGATTACTTGGGCTCTCTGGTCAATGTCTGTGAAACTTTGTAAAGCCCCCCCCCCCAATTAATGTTATTGCTGGTGCTGGACCATTTCAAAAATATGATGTCTTAATCATAGGCAATAAATAAGACCCCCTGTACATTTTCGCATCTCTGAGCATCTGGATCCGGCTGTCAAACTTTGCTTGCGGTGTTTGCTGTAGGCTGACAGTCTTATTTCACGGTAAGTAAAGCTGCTGTGTTGTCATGTTGTAATCGTAGAAATAGTCCTTAAAAGGAGAGCTGAAGCGTGAACCGAACGTCGTCCCGCTCCCTCTGTTGTTGCGCGGCAGCAGCGTCCGTGTCGCGTTAAGCCTTGGTGCCCTCAGGTCTCTCTGTCTGGCTCCTTCTCCTTTCCTGAGATTCCTGGCCACTTTGCCGGCGGATTGCGTGCTTTCTAACTCCTCCGTACCGGAAGTACAATGTCTGTGTTCAGACGCCCTGCTGTCCCCCGTAGATTCTCCCCGAGAGGTGGTCGTGTCGGGCCGGCTCGCCTCCGCTGCGGGGATGCAGACGGCACAGGTCACGCTCGTCTTAATGACCAGACCCCAGCCGCTGAATGCTTCCTACTGTTTATTTTTTCATTAATGAGCCGGTAGAGCTGGGAATGGAGGCGGGGGGCCCATCCTTGTCTCTTAAGGAGGACTGGACCGGGCCCTGACAGGAACTGCCTCGCCTCCAGGGGGAAAGGGCGGGGGAGGAATGTTCCAGAACTTGACAGCCACTCACTCCGCGAGGTTATCGTGGTAATTAGCGGATGCGTCTCTGCTCCAAGCAAGCCTCACGTCATTCGTCGGCACCCGTGACCTCCGTTCTGCTGTTTGCTAGCCCACGCCGCCGGTAACAGCCAATCACAGGAAGTCACTAGGGTCCACGTGTCTTAATGAACGTCTTATCGGTGCTCGGATCAGCCGAAACCTAGGTTCTGGCCGTCTTCTTCATGTGTTTCCGATGGTCCAGTCACTGCAGATCTGCTCTGTCTGACTGGACCAGCTTCGAGTCGTTGCCGCCTCGGCAGTTGAGACCTGGAGCCTGATGGCGTCTGGAGACAAACCCCAAAAAAAATGGCCGACTGGAGATGATGCTTCTCACGTAGTGAGGGTGTGTGAACAAGGATGACGACCACCCATTAAATCTGTAAGGATCTACTGGGGCGCCTCGTTGCTGGGGTGTCAGTCGGAGCCGTTCTGAGTGTTCAGTGAGGCGGGGGTGACAAGGCGGGGACCCCTCTCAGGTCTCGCTGGGTCCCACCTCCTCAGGGAGGACTTCATCGGATCTACAGGGCAACCTCTGGCTCTGTGGTTTGAAACGGGAAAGGGGGGCTCGCTCTCCCCCAGTCTGACATGTAGGTTCTTGGGGATGTCAGGCCGCGGCTGTGGGGGGCCGTCCGTGTCCCTCGTGGGCCCAGGGAAGCAGAACTGGCCTGGCAGAAGCAGGCAGGGGAGACAGGTACCTGCCAGGCTGCGTTCGGGGGTTTATATTTAACCTCCCGGATCCCTCGCTTACCATATCCACGGAAATAAACTCCACTCCTGTAATTAAGCAGTAATGGCGTCTCCTTTGTCCTCCTGAGAGTTGACTCCGCCCCTTTGATGGATTCCCGTCATTGATATATTCAGCATGTACACACACATTGAGAATAAAGCTGTAATGAGTCAGGGAGTCAGGGGCTGTCCTGCTGTGTCTGTGTGTCAGAGAGAGAGACAGGGAGCGAGAGATCGTCATTGGCATTTTGCTGGGTAGTTACTGGTTACTGTGTGTCTCCGCAGGATAACTGAGGCCTGGGAGAAGGATGTGGGCGTTCATCCCCTCTCTCTGCCCTCATCCACCTGCCAGGAAGTGATGCAGCTCCTGACTGCCAGCACTTCCTCTCTGCCGCCGTCTCTGCGCACGATGAACTCCTTTCAGGTGAGTCGGTAAACGCAGCAGTGGGTCGGTGCCGCTTAATAAAGCCGATGTGGTGTGATGGACCGTGAGCCCAGCCACTGGCTCGGGGCCCTGGGTCACGGCACCAACCAGCCTGAGTCTGGTTCTGTTGAGTTAGAGTGCTTGTCCCTAAACACTGGAATACTTGGAGGTTCAGGCGGCGAAGGGGTTAACTCCTCCCGCACGCCTGCCGTTTCCTGAAACCTTTTCTTCTCTGCTCTGCTGGCAGATTAAGGGTAATTACACACTACAGACTCGTTCTTTACCTGTCAGCCTGCTTGGAGAACTTCTGAGAGATATCTCTGAGCATGCCTCAGCCTGATCTGTCGCTCTGTAGATCCTTCCCTGGCCTGTTCCCAGAACCAGGTTGGGTGTTTTTTTGTTTTTTTTTGTTCTCTACATCCCAGGCTTTTGCGAACTTGGTCCAGGAATGATTTCTTGACTTGGCTGCTGTAGGGTTGTGATGTGGATATGACCACAGCCCAGGTCTCCAGGGATGTCCCAGGGTCTTCAGGAACTGGACGCAGGTTACCTTGGAGTCAGAAAGGACTTTAAGCTTGCCGCTGAGACTCAGACTCCGGAGGGCAGCCTCAGAAAGCTCACAGCTTTGAGTAACAGATCTCTCCTTCCTCCTCCCCTGCTCTCATCATCCAGGAATAAATCTCCCAGGAATCAGTCCCGTCTGAGGTGCTGTATCTGACAGATGCTACCAGCTGCTCACTCGAATCTCCCTGTAGGAACGCTGCACCTCATTAGCAAAGGCTGTTTTCCTTTACTGCGCCTCATCTGTACAACAGAACGAGGCATTAATAAGCACTCAAATCGACTTTCGTTAGAAGTGAATATTTTAGTATTAGTGTTGACTACAAAACCAATTATAAACAGGAAGATAAGAATAATATTTAAAAGTGACAAAAATATCAGGTTGACAGAAAAGTTAGGATGATATCAACACGAACGGATTCACAGCCTGGCTACTCTTGGGTTAGATGAAAAATGATCAGTAAAATTATTGGGTTGCCAGTTTGTGGTGTGGAAGCCCTGCTTTGTCCTCCCCCCTTGTTTGAGGGTTTTATAGATGCTGGTGTGGAGACTTTCTTGGACACCCAGGGGTCTGTGGGTGGGTGGGACGGAACCTCCAGACTCCACACTTTGCTGCGCATTTCAGTGTCGCGGTCGCATTCCCTCACATGCCAGCCTGCAACATGCAGGAAAGGCTGCAGCACCTGAGATATCGCCTTGTGCCCGCAGGTGGCGTTCCTAACCCTCTGAAGCTGGACGCCCAGGGACGTGTCGCCGTGCGAGTGTCCGGCCCGGGGCCCGGCGGTCCCCGCACGTCTGCTTGTGACATTATCCTGACCTTGATTAAACGCTCATTTTGTTACGCTCTGTGTTTTATTCAGGACGTAAACTGATCCTCACTTGGTTGCACGCAAACATGCACTGACGCATTTGCTGCATGACCTTCTCTGTGGGATTTTCCTTCAGCTTGAGACTTTATTGGAGTGTTTAAAACTTGCTGTAATCAGGCTGGCTGTGAAAAACGGTGCCCTCTGTCTAAAGGCTGATTGATATTCCTGCATAGAAACTATGCAGCTCATTGGAGGCTGGCTGTTTGTACCATGGTTGCAGCTGTTCACTTTATTTAAAAAAAAAAAATACAGTTGCAGCCATTCCTGCTGCGGTTGCACAATACTGTAAAATTTCAGATCTCACAATGTGTTTTTTTTCCCTGATAAATATTGTAAAGCAAAAATGGAGCTCAAAATGAATTTGTCACTAACCTGCCCGAGTGATTTAAACAGCAGGAATGAAAATGATTATAACTGGCTCAAGAGTACATACAGAGCTCATGGAAAAAGCAGTGGCAGTAAGGTTTAAACTGATTTTTAAACTGATTAATACTAGATCATCTTGAAAAGGAACAATCATTAAAATTGCAAAGCTAAATTGCTAAGTTTCCTTTGACAGTAAAAATGTTTTAGCAAAACTTAAACCCTCTGTACTCAACCAACTGGGGTAATTAGAGAATGACACACCAGCACACAAGTATAAATGCTCATGGTGACACAGGGCAGAGTTTACGCCCTGCGTAAGCTCAACACAAGAGTATAAATCAGCCTTAAGGTTTACTGTGGTCCCCAAGACCCCAGGTGGTTCACTTCACCAACACCGTATGTCTTCAGAGCCAGGGGGAAGCTCACGTCACAGGCCAAGCTGGTTATTGGGTGCCCCCTGCTGGTGGGGTGAGGGTGTTTTCCAGCTTGCCAATGGGGGTGATTTTTGTTGTGCTTGGAGAATGAGTCAAAGGCTGCGCGGTGCAGGGAATGTTCCCTGTCAGTGAAATGGAGAGACGTGGACGTTTCTCAGGAAGAAGGATTTAAGAATCCATTAAGCGACGCTTCATCTGTTCCCACCTCGGCTCATTCTCACAAATATTGGCACGTTTCCACTGTCACTTAAATGATATTATAAACGCGCTGACAGTGTGACGATTCTCCTAAGGAGCATTTTTGGTCCCGCGTAAGCAAAACGCTAGTAAGCTAATTAGGCCTCTCTCACGCTACCCGGCATGTTCCGTCTGTGGCATTTGCAAGCTTAAAAGAAGCTTCCAGAAATGAACTGCGCTGCAGGTCTGGTGTGAGAAGATAATGAACCTCATGTGTCTCAGAAGCCCACTGATAGCCCTTCACCATGTGTCTCTGTAAAATGTTTACGAAGTTAAATTCGTCACCTCCAAAGTGGGCAAGGAGAAAGTTCTACTTTTTTTTTTTTTTTTAATATAGTCAGTTTTTATTGCTCTTCATTTACACAAAAAGTGTTTACTTGTAGATGTAATAAACTTTTTTTTAAAAACATTTGGGGGATTTTTGTCTCAGTTTTATTGGATGGTTATATCAGAGTCCCCAACTGGAGCTTGTCACATTTCTCATTTTCTGTCTGACTCAGTGTCTGACTGGGGGCCCCCGAGCGCTATTCAGAGAGCCGTATGGTTTTTCCTCTTCTCTCCTGGGGGGCGTTGGTGGAGTTCTGAGGGAGTCTAACATAGTTACCTCTGTGCTTACATCAGCCTCTCAAGCTTCACACCACTGTGATAAATGAACCCCTTCAGCCAAATCTAGTTTGAGTCCTGACTGGCTGATTAGAGGGTTTTGCCCCCCCCCCCCAGGTCACAGCCAGAAATTGAAGGGTCTCTCTTCTTTGCCTCCGGTGCCCTGAGTGCAGGGACAGTCCTACAGCCAGCTCAGCGCCCCGGTGGGCAAAGTTTATGCAGACACAGACGCTTGTGGGAGTTTTACTTACACAAAAATGTTCAGAGGGCAGAAGAAAAAAATTATTGGTTCAGAGACATAACCAATCAGATTGTAGGGGAGGTGGGCCTAAGCAACTAGAAGAGGCGAGACCAAGACATCTGATTGTTTGGTCTTACCTCCACTAGTTGCTTGTATCCTCCTCCTCTACAATCTGATTGGTTATTTCTCTGAACCAATAATTTTTCCTTCTGCTTTAAGAACATTTTTGTGTAAGCAGAACTCAGACACAGATCCAGAAGGGTGGTTTCATCACACATTCCACAAGCGGTCCCCCCAGATCAGCTTACCTCGAAATTCATCTAATATCCATGTTCCAGGCAGATGCCCTGGTTAATGTGCCAAGTGCTGTTCCTCGTCCCATGTGTCGGTAAGTGTGGTATTGGGACCACATCCCCCCCTAGCCAGTCACCTTCCCTCCGTCTTCCTCACCCCCCTCCTCTCTGTATCCTTCGCTATCTTGGGGAAGGAGATTGAGGACACGGCGAGCCCTCATGCCCACACGGAGAGCGCTACGATGGCTGCCTCCAACCAGCCGGTGCCTCTTGTCTCTGCACCCACCCATTTTCAAGCCGCGGTCTTCCCCTCACGCGCAGCATTCAAATCAACAAGGTGTCAGAAAGCACTTTCCGGTACTTTCCGGAGACGATGGGCCTAGCATGTTCCAGTTTTAAAGTGTCTCATTAGCATAACAAACTTTCCCATTACCCAATCAAAACGCTGGCCCTGAGGTATCCACAAATCAGCAGCTGACTGGCATCACACATGACGATGCTTTTATTGATTCCTCTGAGGAAATTCTCCTTTTTCCTACCCCAGCTTTCTCTCCATGATACACATGTAGGTGAAAACAAGCTTCCGGTGGTGCCCATGGAGCTGGGGGTTCAGGGCCTTGCTCAAGGGCCCACAAACATGTGACTATCCTGCCAAGACTCATGCCGGCAACCTTCCGATCACAAGCACAGAGGCTTAGCCTGCTGAGCCCCACAGCGCCCCCCAGTGTAAGGAGGCTACCTTACATTACATTCTTTCCTTGAATGGCTCTGAATTGTGACAGTGTAAAAGCTGGGGCTTTGGAAATAGGGAGATGGAGGGGACGTATGCCCCCCCCCCCCTTTTTTTTTTTGCTGTGCAGATACTTAACTGAGACTGTAGTCCTATATCAGGCAAAATCATTTCATTATATGGATCAGTTATTGTTTTTTAATTAAGTAATCTGTTTGTGAAACTGTGCTAGTCTTATTTTAAATGATGAAATCATTATTATTTTAAAACTATTACTTTAAAATCTTTCTTATGTCACATTCTTTCACATTTGACTATTGCATGTGGGCCCATTGCAATGTTGTGACGTATCTTGCACCCCCCGCCACCAGGGCAAATTTGATCCCCCTCAATGTCAAATGGCAAAGGCCTCAGAAGCACTGGCCCCCGGCTGAAGGCTGATTGGTCCTCGCAGTGCACCCTCCCCTGTCACTCACCAGCTGAAGACATATCATTGGCTAATCCTAGACTCTTTCCTGCCTGACATCCTATGAAACCATGAGGCCATCAGAGCCAATCACAATGGCCAGATGGTGAACGAAGCTGAGAGACGGAGGGTTTGGGGCTTCTGGGGAGCGGTGTGGAGGCTCTGGCCGTGGTGGGGGGGCAGGGGCGCATCCAGGGACGACATCCCAGGGGCTATAACAGCAGTACCTGACTCACCTGATTATCTCTGCAGCGTCAGAAACAAATGCATCAGAATTTCCCATGAGGCACTCTGGTGGAGGTGTGACAGAGAAACAGAGAGTGATCTGCACAGGGACTAGAAATGTCTGTTGCTGAACAACTACAGGTGCTACAGATGTTGCAGGTTTTATGCAGTCTGCAAGGATTAGTGCTTATCTGTCTTATTCCATATATCTAACAGGTGTACCCCCTCTATCTATTGTTATATATCTAAGAGATATCACTGCTCTACTTTTCATTATATATTTAAAGGCTAAGCTATTGGCCAAGCTGACAATTAATTATGGATTCACCCTGGCGGAGCCCACAGTGACCCAAGAAGGAGTTTGGAGCTGAGAGCCTTCTGGCGTGAGAAGCCTGTGGTGTGTCTCGCTTCTTCTGAGACCTAAATTCAATTGCTAATTGCACATTCAGGCCAAATTCCAAGCTGTTTCCCAATTTTAGGCAGGTAATTACAGAAACTTTCAGCAGATCTGTCTAGCAGCTGAGTGGGTTTGAATCAGAAAAACACTATTTCTGTGGGGGGGGGGGGCAGGTTGTGCAGCTTGTACAGAACGGAGGTGGGAGGACCGACTGCTGTCCATGTTCCTGCGTTACTGCCTCTGCTGAATCGGCAGCCCCCCCCCTGAGCTGCTGAGCTAGGACCATCATACTACCCTAGGGGGTGGGGGAGTTCTCCTGCAGTTGTGATCCAATTAAAATAATGTATTTAAAGACTGAACTGAAATTCCGTCCTGGGCAGATAGTGGAGATGAGGCAGATTATAGTCACAATGTTGGTCTGTTTAGACCGGTCAAATCCACTCCCACTTGCACGTATGTGCGACAGTCTACCGAACATTTTTTGCGTGTGTGAGGACTAACACAAATACGGCTTTAATTGAAGAACTGCGGGGAGCTTTCTCAGCATGTTGGCCGTGATGTGGTACAAATTGCACAATTCATTTAAGCGGCGGCTTAATCAGTCATAATTAAAGCCTCAGCAGTAACAGCGCGAGCAGCCGGTCCGGGGGGGGGTTTGCTGCCGTGTGGCTGTCGGGTACAAACCAGTGATCGAATAGTGTCTTTGGGGGTGTCCAACCATGTGTGGCAATGCTAAGAGCGGTCAACCTGGAGGTGGCAACAGTAACAGTTTTTTACTGAGGCTGGGGGGGTGCGGTCAATCTTGAAAGATGGTCATATGTGGGCAGTGATCCCCAAACTCTTCTTTATCCATGAATTCTCGGAGTATTTGAAACCATAGCTACCTAGATCAAAGATATTTTATGCGTCTTATATTTAGAGAATCCTACATAAAACACAGCGCACATTATTCTCTAATGTCCGCAAAATGGACAGAAATGTCGCAGGTATTATTAATGATAATTAAAGACAAGTCATTATTCTAGCTAAACAGTATTTGGAACGGAAGTATTTGACGTTTGTTTTTATTTTGGTTAGTTTGAGAAGCATTACTTTTAGTTCTCGTTTAGCTGTTCTTAATTTTATTTTTGTGTCTTATTTCAGTTTACCAAAACGTCTCACAGTTTTACTTAAGGATTATATCACTTCCTCGGATCCCCTTCAGTTGGAGCCCTGGACCGGGCCGAGCGGCTGTTAATTATATGGCCCTCCTGCTTCTGGGCTCCGCGCTCTATCGCGCTCCATCACACCAGGCTGCGGC